GGGGGGGGGGGGGGGGGGGGGGGGGGGGGGGGGGGGGGGGGGGGGGCAGAGGAGTACACGACCGCGTCAACCTCGGCTTGCATTACACCGTGCTATTTTCTGCGGACCAGTGGCCCTCGTGTCTTGAGCAACTCGAAAGAAACGAGGCCGAGCAACACGCCGCATATTCAACTGTGACCAGAACGACATTTGCTTCCTTCCCTACATGCACGGTGGTGGTGGTACATCATGCAGCAGCCTATACGGCCAGAGGCCGGAGGGCTTTAGTTGAGGCTAAGAACCCCGGTGTGTCGACAGAGTGGGGACGGAGCTTGCGTTTCTTATCTTATCATCACATCTGGGTTTCGCCAGCCAGCCAGAGGTACAAGCCCGACACACGGGCATGCGTAGCGGCTACATCAGTGCAACGTGAAAAGCATGCCGCCGAGGGAGGTCAAAATCCGAGGTAATGCGCCATTGATGAACGAATCGAGACGTAAGGGCGCAAGAACAATATGCTGTCGAATATTGTACGGAAAATGTCACCACCTCGTTCATTATTTTTCAAACAAAAGCACACCAAATATTGATTATCTTCCACATATTAGCGTCCGGGATAGATGAGCAATGAATTCATCATTTATCCCAAGTGCCGAAGAAACATGCACAGAGCAATGTTCGTCACCTTTGTGCCCCCCGCTGTAGATGCGGGCGTCAGTCTAGACAACACTAAGAAAAGCGTGATAGCAGACTATTAATAATGCCCATCCATCTCTCGCAGCATCGAAGCTTGCCTGTGGTTCCGATCGAACGCCTTGAAATATTTCTTGACCCACTCCTCGTTCATGATGCCGAAGTTACGACGCACCGTGCGGCGGAACTCTCCCGCCGTGAGGTACTCTTTTGTTCCTGTTCGTTGTTCGGTAATACCATGATTGTTCCGTTCCGTTATCGTGTGTCGTCAAGAGCTTGTTCACGCTCAAAGATCCCTCCTCGACTCGACTCTACATCTAACACCGCAACGTAACGACCGACCCACTCAAGACTGGCAGTGACAAACGCAGCGAGCATGTACGTATTCCGCGGTGATTCTTACACATGGTACAGTTTTGGTGGCGACCTCTACTCCACATTGTCCGAGCAACACGCCTCGTCTATGCTCAGCAGCTGTAGCAAAAACTAGAGTTGCGGTGAAAGAATGATTAATATTTGGATGGTAGTAGGACAAGCGGCAGTTGCGGTAATATAGTACCGCCTAGGATCCGCCACCACCGTACAGTTTTTTTTTTTCTCCCATCATTGGACTCTGTCGTTTGCCCCTCTGGCCCCTATCTTCCACTTCTACCAGCTAGACGACCCAACCGGGGTCACATAGGAGGGGGGGGTTGGACCCCCTCCTGCGGTTCAGTATGTAACCAGACGGGGGGTAATTCAGCTCTTCAGCACAGCAGCAGCACCTCGCAGTGAGCATGTTCGCAGATCTTTGCCATGAAGTGCAAGAAACGCTCTGTTTGGAAACACGGGGACCACGAGGGCAATCGCCTTTGCATCCGATTAGGCCCTATATTTATATTTCCAAACAGTTCGACAACAGCCTCCAACTCTGATGTCCACTTCCAACGGGCTCAAAACATCAAGAGAAGGAAGTCCCTCTATTCTCTCACCCGCCAGCTGCCTAAACCTCTGGAAGAGGTCCGCCAGCTCCGCGGGCTCGAAGTTCGTCCTGAGGCAGAGCGTCGACACCAGCGTTTTCCACTCCTTCGGGAGGTCGTACACCGGATGCTCCTCCGCCTGCCCGAGCGCGCCATAAACAACGTCCGACACCCCATTAAGGGTGGACTCGCGTCTTCTCCCCCCCTCCCCCCCCTCCTCCGCGGCTGATGCTGCTGTGCCCCCCAGGGTGTCGTTTCCTTGGGATTGTTCACCCCCCCCTTCTAACGATTGGTCAGCCCCTGATGATGGACTGCTACTGCTAGTGCGGGGTGGCTGGGGGGGAGGGGGTTTCGCCGTGGGAAGGGGCGACGCGGTTGAGACTCCCGCTTCCGGCGGGTTTTGCTTCCCTTTGCTGTCGTAGCCTGGCGGATGGTAGTTGTGTCTGTTGGGGGGGGGAGATGTGTATAAGAGACAGGTCTCCGTCAAACGTGTCGACTTCAA